ATAGTTAATTTAGTTAATGTTACAATATGCCCATTTGTTAAAATGAAATCTATGGAGCTAAAAAGCATTTATAAGAATAAAAGTAAACCACAGAATCATTATGAAAACTATAAAAATACAACAAAATATAACTATTCGCACAAAATAAATTTATGACATTCTATCAATAAAACTGATTCTCTAAGTCAAGAAATAGCCTTTACTTCAGCAACCGTTCTTTTGGGATTTTTTCTTTTCCTCTAATGAAGTAACTAGTTCTATCAATACAGTTTAGTTTCTTCAGGATTGACAATCCATAATGTACAGCATTGTGATCTTGTTGCAAAATCATTTCCTGTAGACAAGAATTAATAAATAAAATGTTAAGATATTTCCTTAACAAGATATATACGGTGCTCGCCAAAGTTTGTTTTATTTTATTTCAACCTTTTAGGACCCTAATATTTCGTTAGCGCGCAATTGAGCAGACTACGCGCTCACAAACTTCTGGGAACTATAATAAAAAGCGTAGCACTATATAAAGTTTTAGAAAACGTTACCTGGTCTCCAACGTGTAAAGTTTCAGCAGGAGTAGCTCCGAGAAAATTTTGTAAAATCCGTACACCTATAAGTTTATTGCCACTAAATTTTACCAAATCAAAGTTTAGATCATTAATGTATTAATATAAATTAGATGGTTTAATATATTGAAATACTTACATGTCGACCCAAACATCACTTCCTCCATTAAATGCACAAAAAGGTAAAGAATGTTGTTTGCCCGATGATGATTGCAAGTAGCTGATCAGGCTATGCTGGGTTGAGAGAACACATTCATCCTGATAATTGGTAAAAGTGGGATTAATTCGTAATTCGCAGAAAATGATCAAATATTCTGCAACGTTATAGAACACTAACAAGCTGTTCCCTAAAAATCTTGACATTTGGTTGAGGTACAATACCTATCTCCACAAGTAAATTGTATAAATAAGATTGTATTCCAATACAAACATAATATTTCAAATTACATACCAACAGCTCTACTCTTACGTAATATTGTACATGGCAACTTCATGTCGTTAATGCATCGTTGTAAAGTTTCTTGAGCAACATCAAGAATAGCCTTAATCTGAATTTCATATCAAGACAGCATATATTCTGGTTGATATTCACTAAATTGTTTAATATATATATATATATTAGATATTTTTCAATTATTATTGAATACTCAAATCTTATATCGTAAACCTACGATTCAGGAATATATTTCAGGTGATAATTTTCTTGACATTGAAACAAATAATTACATTCTCCACCTAATAAAATTAATTTATTATTAATATTACATTTAATGCGAATAGAAATATAATAGAATTATTTCCAAAAATGCACCTAACAGATAGAACCTTTCGCAAATTTTTTTAGGTAATTGTGCACTCTCAAACCCCTTTAATAAGCCTGATAGTCGTTGTTCATAACGTTGCGCATCACCTGGATATCCAGCAGCCGTTACTACGCATACATTAAAATCAAATTCTAATAATTTTACAAGAAGCTTGACTAATTCTGAATCTTGTTCAAAGTCTTTTCCATCACCATAAAGTGTCATGTCACCATCGCTATTTAATATACGAATTAATTAGAATTACATGAGATAACGATAAGATATATATGATTATGAACACTTACAAAGTTATTAATTTAAGTTTTGGAGCAATCGCGAGAATCTAATTTAAATGA